GGGGGGGGGCAGACGATACAAAAGCTGGTCGAGAAAGTGAACGTGAATGTGTGGGTCCGATTCTGCCGTCGCTTTTTACCGCGCACCACAACACAGCCAAGACTGGAGAGGCTGTATACTTTTTGAAGATCTCGCGGGGGAGAGGAGGGCAAGGGGCGTGTCGTTCCCCCGTCACTGCCCCCGTCACTCCCCCAGTCACTCGGCGGCCTGCACACTCTGCGAGCAGCGGGGTCATGATGACGGCTGGGCTACGCGGCCCAGTCTCTCGCGAGAAGGCCGCCGCGCAGCTCATGAGCTGGACCATCGCGCCCGCCGCGGGGACGCCGCGCCTGTCCATGGGAGCGAGCGCAGGTGGCGCATGCTCGCCGCGCCGTGAACTGTTCCGCCATGAGTGGCGTCATGGAGTGCGTTTGGCAAATGGGCGCGCTCCGTCTCTGTCGCCCGCAGTGCGGCAGCGCAGCGGCACTACGGGGACCCTCCCTGCACTGCCGCACCCTGCCCTGCCATGCCATGCCACTCGGTAAAAAAAAAAAGTTTTTCTCGAAATTTGAAGTTGTTTCATGATGTTCTAGGACGGGTGAACAACTCCAAGGGTGGCCCTGGTATAGTCCAAGACTGTCTTAAAACCCTCGACATTCGATAGGAAGCCTTGCAATTTTCGTCTGATAATATGCAAGGCAAGGTGCTGCGTGCCGCGTGCCTCTTGGACTTGAAGGGCCGCTATCTGAGTTAACCTCAGATCCTTGTAATTCGTGAGAAAAAAACAAACTAAGTGCGTGCCTTAGCAAGGGCGGGGCGGCCGGACAAACGGGACGAGCGCACCGCGCCACGCCGAGTGCGTTTGTACCCACACGCTTTGCTGGCTGCAGCCCGGAGACTTTTCTGGAAGCTGGAGTGTGACGGGACCTCGTGACGTACGGGGTCACGTGACGCGGCGGCCGAGGCCGTTTGACGGGGCCTGGTAGTGAGTTCGTGTGACGAGACATTCGCCATTCTGATGAGCTCGTTGAGGCTATGTGTGACGAGATCGCCTAACGAGGTCGTCGTCGCGTGCATCCAAGGCGCGGCAAGGCGGTTAAGGTGGGCGGTGTGACGAGGATGTGCTGACAGCGCTCAGAGCAGATGCATACTCCCCTGTGCCAAACCACTCCATAACGGGATCCCGCCCGATGCTCCAGGCATAAAAAGAGATGTGCTCGCTCGACATGCGCCTCGAGTAGGTTAGGTTCAAATACTTGAGCTCGTTTTTTGTTTGTTTTTGTTTTATGATTTCTCCCTCTCCCTCTCCCTCTCTCCCTCAGGCCCTTGGCGCTCCAGACGGCGCCAGATCAGCAGCCCATAAGGCGCGGGACGAGCAATCGATCTGCAGGGAGCGGCGCCGCCCTATCGGCGTATCACTGTGAGTGAAAGCCCGCCACGCCGCGCCACGCCACGCCCGCCCGAGACAATCACCTTTGTGTTTTGGACATTAAACCAGTTGACCTGTTTTGCACGGCGCGAGTGCGACTCCTTTGTGAAGCTAGACCGGCCGGACGGCGCGGGGCGGGGCGGGGGAGGAAGCCCAAGCCCGGGGCCCGGGGAGGCGAGGCGACTAGGATGGATAGGAGAGGCGCGAGTTGAACCGTAAAAGTTGTCGGCACTGCGTTATGCTTTCGTGGGCCGAGGGGGGTCCCCCCGGCCGGTAGCCACTGGGCCGTGGACTCGGAGCGGCCGCCGGCCTCCGCCACGGCCATTGGCGCAGGTGCATCCGCGCGCCCCGCCACGCCACGCCCCGCCACGCCCCGCCCCGCCACGCCCCGCCACGCCACGTACGTGTCGCCGATTACTGTCCTACCATTAAGGAGAGTTTAAAGGAAAGCTGCTGACCGCGCGTACACTTTGCCCGCAACGAGAAAGTGTAATGCTCATATCTGGCGCCTTTCTTGTCTTCTGCTGTTACTTTTGTTTTTTTGCTAGGCAAATCGGTGTGTGCGCTA